TCCCTTCAATTATAACACAAAACAAATAGGAGAACTACTGGTTAAGGTGTTGGTTTATTGAAGTAAAACTCTTAGGTTCAATTCTTTCTCCTTACATATCCTTACATATCCCACATCGCCAAAAATATGTAAACTCAACAATTTTTGTCTATTATATAAGTCTGCTATCCTCATACTTCATTTGATGTTTACTTTAAATCTCACATCGATTCAAGTATCAAAATATACTCCAACTTCATGTTTATATAACAATACTTGAGGTTAGCTAAGAAATCGATTAAGGTTTGGGTTTAAAACCGAAACGGAACCGGGGAAAGCCAAGTACCCCGAAAAAAAAATGGATTACCCTTAATATAAAATTGGGATACCCCTTTACTTTGGTCATGGCTCCGCCACTCGATAAACTACATTGTAATAAGAGAATTAAAAACAATATTTTTAGCCACTTGGATGATATATTTGCGACGACGATGAAGAAAAAAAAAATTAAGACTGCGACAAATAAAAGATGATTTTAAGCTAAAGGGTGCGTTAATACGTTTACCAATGGTAAAAATATCCTACATAGACACCACATAAGCTTTTATCATTTTTACCAGAATTTACTTACGAGTGGGATTACGTGGTTTTTTTACCAATGGCAAAACTTTTGTCTATACAAAAAGAAGGGTGTTAAATGAAACTATTATACCTACTTGTCTATTCCTTATTGGTTGTTAAGAACTACCACTCTTTTGTATTTTGCTAATAAATGAAAGTGCAACACATTGATGCGGCTGCCTAATGCATACAAATTGTTTACATCGATAAGAATGAGAGAGAGAAATTGGTGAGAGTTCACGTTCACCAATGGAAGTTACCGCCAGCAATAAATGTGGTTGAAGGGTGGTATTACTGCCACCTAAGCTTACCGGCTTTATTTTTGCAACCACATGAATAAGCCTTAGGATAGCATTTATGATTAAAAAATTTACTGTTTATTTCAATAAAGAGTTATTATTCCCTTCCTTTGAAACACTTAAAAATATTTATTCGGGCATCAAACCGCAATAAGCATCTGAAATAAACAAACTCAGCCTTCATCCAATAGGGACAACAAGATCGTCGAATGTCCCAGTTCCATATCATGATTTAAATAAACAATATATCTTGGTTCTCAATTGGTTTTTATGTAATTTTGCACGAAAACTGATCAAGATCCGTGAGCTACTACTTTACACCTTTCTCTTTTCAAGGCTAAATCATCTAACATTTCTATCTACTACTCCAAAAAGATTATTAGTATTTTCTTCAGTTGCCACCACCAAAACCACGAGGATTTGGACGTCCTGCTGAACCCGCGAATTGTTTCCTCGACTCCGATTTTCTCTTCCTCCTTGCAGTCCCGGGAGGAGCCTGAAATTACACGCAAAACAAAATCATCAGTCCCAATCCCAGTCTTTTGCACAAATAAAAGAGTGGGTCAGTCTGTGTCCCATCTTTCTAGGTGGGACACAATTGCAGGTTTTGTCTTATTGACATCAGTCTCAGTGTAAAATAAAAAGAAAAAAAAAAAAAACACCTTTTGTTCGGATTTGATTGCCTCTTCAAGGTTGCTTAGTGCAGGAACGGATCCGCCTTCCATTGCACCCATCAAATTCTTCATCCGAACACGCATTTGAAATAGCTGAGCCACAAGTTGGCTCACCTACGAAAAAACCAATATATCCTTCACCTTTCTTTTTCAATTTATTTTTAAATTTAAATAAAAAAAAAAAAACAAAATATTATATTTTATATATACCTGCTGCTCGGTCTTTCCAGATTCTTGAGCAATTCTCTTTCTCCTGGCAGGGGATTCTGCAAGTAGTTCAGGCTGCTCCCTTTCCTCTGAAAAAATAAAAAACCCAAAGGATCATTGAACATTAATGTTTGTTTCCAATTTTCACCTGAAAAAAAAAAAAAATTATTATTCAGATAGGAAAAGAAACAAAACCTGGTGTCATCACTTCAATCATGGCTTCCATTATTTGTAAGCTCTTTTCTGCTTCTCGAATTTGAGCAGGAGTAACCTGTCCAACAAACACAGCATGATTATGATTAATGAACTTCTTCACTTCAAAAAAAAAATTAAAACTTTTTATTTGCTTTTTGACTTAATGAACCTTTCCCATTCCAGGAATCATTCCAAGAACACGAGACATGGAACCCATCCTTGCAACAGCACGAGTTTGCTTCAAGAAGTCATTGAAGTCAAACTTTGCACTCATGATCTTCTTCTGTAAATCTTCAGCATCTTCTTGTTTCATCTACACACCCATAATTAGATTTAGAGTCTAACGTTTTTATTTCAATCCATCATTTTTACAAACAAAAAAAACTAATTTAATATTAACACTCACAACTTCTTGTGCTTTCTCCACAAATGAGAGAACATCTCCCATGCCCAAGATCCTTCCTGCCATACGATCAGGATAAAAGGGTTCAAGATCCTCCATCCTCTCTCCACGTCCCACAAGCTTAATTGGCTTTCCTGACACCTAACATCACAAAATTAAACAAAATCTTATATATATATATATATATATATATATATATATATATATATATATATATATATATATATATATATATATATATATATCAAATAAACATCAATTGAGAAAAACAAAATGTTTAAGAAAGAGCAACCTCTTTAACACTTAGAGCTGCTCCACCTCTTGAATCCCCATCTAGCTTAGTTAGAATAGCTCCAGTAATTCCAATTTCAAGGTTGAAAGTCGTCACCAAGGCTGAAAATTATCACCAAGGGTAGTTTGGTAAATTGTCACATGTTTATATGAAATATTAATAATAAGTGATTTCAAAAATCAAAACACCTGCAGCTTCTTGCCCTGTCATTGCATCCACAACAAGCAAAACTTCTGTGGGATTCAATGTTTTCTTCACATCTTTCAATTCATCCATCATATTTTTGTCTATCTGGGATTAAAAAGGTAAAGGGTGTTGTCGTTAGATGAATGAAGAAAATTGTCTTCTCTAATATCTAAAATGGTTAAAAAGACATGTCATATGATTATAACCTGAAGTCTTCCTGCTGTATCCATTATAACCACATCTACATTCTTCTTTTTAGCCTCTTGAAGACCTTGTCTAGCTATTTCTGCTGGTTTTACATCAGTCCCTACTGCATACACAGGAACATCCACCTGTCACAAACTTATATCTATCAGAATGAGCTTTAAGTGACCCTAAAAACTCATATCAAACTTGTATAAGTGTCAACTTCATACCTGTTTACCCAAAATAACAAGCTGATCAATTGCAGCTGGTCTATATACATCTCCAGCAATCAGCATGCAACTCTTCCCCTATAATTTTTGTTTACATTACAATTGCAAAGGCCAAAAAGGGTAAGAACCTACACACAAATTTCAGATGCTGAAAATAAAGATGTAGGGAGTTAAAGTTGAAGTTGAAGTGCACCTGTTTCTTGAGGTACAAAGCTAATTTTGCACTAACAGTTGTCTTCCCAACACCTTGTAGACCAGCCAATAAGATAACAGTGGGGCCAGATTTTGCAAAAGTTAACTCAGAAACCTCTCCTCCCATTAGCTTCACGAGCTCATCACTTACAATCTGTGTTAAACAGAATCCAGCAATATGTTTATGAACTTTGGAGAAGATGATGTTATAATTTATACTTCAGTATGGAAGAAAACAAAAACACATACTTTAACCAATTGCTGATCTGGTTTGACTCCTCTAATCACACCAACACCAACAGCTTGTTCACTTACAGTTTGAACAAATCTTCTTACAACGGGAAGGCTAACCTGTAATTAGTAATCCAACCAAATTAGGAACATAGCTCTAAAGAGTAAAGACGAACTGTTGTTTTTTATGAATCATATTCATATACAGATGAAGCACATACATCTGCTTCCAGAAGAGCTCGTCTAATGTCCCTCATTGGTTCCACAATATTCTCCTTCGTTAAGACCTCTGACGCACAGAAATTAGCATTATCAGTGGTGATTTCTGCATTTCATAACACAAAATGTAATGGAAATCTAAAGGTGGAACTAAAACCTTCGCCCTTTAGCTTGTTCCAGGCGGATTCAAGGCCACTGGTCAGCTGACCAAACATCTCTGCTCTGATTACCCCACGCTTCTCTCTCCTGACCGGAATTACTCTCTGCGACTTCACAATTCCCCATAGCTCCCTCTTCCCCCACCCAAAAACAACAAACATCGCAACAAAAAGCAAAATCAATATATAACCTCAAATTATTGTTGGAACACTAAATTGACTCCTAACCGTGGACGATGAATTACTGAAGCGGAATGATAGCGCGTGCGGCGAAGTTGAACCAGTCCATGATGTAGCAGAGTGGTTGGGGTGCGTCTTTCTCGGGAAAGCTGTGGAGAAATGGCGGGAAGCAACTGTGGAGAAAGTTAAGGCTTCCATGGGAAGACAGAGGTGAGTTCTCTCTCTCTCTAGAATTTGAGTTTTTGGAGAGAGATGGGTATGGATATTTGGAGTCTGGTTTTTATTATCCACAACGAAGACATAGATTCTAGATAGTGAGGTGTAATCCAGCGCTTCTATCCGTTTTCCTTGATAAGCTCCACCAATCGCCGTACTGTGTGTATTCGGATCAACGGATCACATAAACTTCTATTTGAAGTTACCGAACCCGAAAAATATTAATTGAAATGAAATTAAAACTTAATTAATTGAATTTTTTCAGTTTGATTTAGATTGAAAATGATAAAGACATAAAATTATTTTTTATACAATCTCATCCGTAGACATAGAACCTTGGGTTTCTAAATTAGCAAAGTCAACCACCAAAGTGCAACTATTGAGAGCTAAATTCGTCACTTAGTTTGTTACATCATGTGATGTCGTAGATCTTCAATTATAATTGTAACCTTAATATATAGTCAAGATTATCAATAAACTACCTTAATATATAGCTTGATTCTGATCAAGTGAGCCACATTAAATCCTTGTGATCTTTATTCTTCTTCGCATCTTTATTATCGTGTTTGTATTTGCAAGATAAACATATTCAGATTTGAAAAGTATATGTAAGGAATGCATTTACATTTTTGGACAAGTTTTGATTATCAAACTCTTTCACCTTACATTGTTAACAGGTTGAAACAAATCATTTTTATAATTTTAGACCACTTTGTAATAACACAATCAACTCAATCAATCTGTGAAACAATGTGTTCTTCAACAAGAGGAATCGTCTTCCGCACCACCACTTTCATTGGAGCCCCTACATCAAATCCAACCTCAACAAGTTTAGTTACTAGTTACATTTACTAAAATACCCTCCAACAATAAAATAGATATAATTTCTAAAATACAAATACTCACCTCCATTGCTCTCCCTACAAATGGCTGCATAGTGAGAACCAGCCAATTCACATTGTGCAAATTGCCAATTAGTTGTAAGCTCAGTTCGCTTCTCTAAAGGCACAATCACTATCTCAGAATCCTGTGAAAATATAAACAAAGAAGTAATTAAGTAAATACTCAAATCATCCTTTTTTTTTTTTTAAAAAAAAAAAAAGAAATATATATTAATATTCCTATGGCATACCTCAGAATCAGGATTCACAGGCCTAAACCTAATTGTAAAGGTGCTAAAAGGAGCACCTGAGAACCCTCTTCCCAATGCTTTAACATACGCTTCCTGAAATTAATTTATTACTTAGAAATTAGAATCAGGAATTTTGGACAAATATATATATATATATATATATATATATATATATATATATATATATATGTTGCTATTTCTTGCAATAAGTCCTTGAATGTATCTTCTAACCTTTAGTGTCCAAAGTTTAATAAACTCGTGGCGTTGAACTTCAGGGTCTGAAATTGCACTTAATAATTCCACTTCTTCAAAAGTGAAATATCGTTTAGCAAATGATAATATACTGTTTTTCATTGTCCTTTGCTTTTCCTCTACATCAATACCAATCTGTATTTATTTAATAAAATAATGTAAAATAAGCTCATTAATAACTGTTTTACCAAATACTTTTTTTTCAAAAAAGATAATTTTAATGAAAATAATGAGAAGATAAGGAAACAAACTGAGGAGTCAATGGTCACTCCACATGCTATCAATGATGATGTGTGAGAGAGATTGAATTGTAGAGGTGGTGGATGCCAATCGTCACTATTTTGCCAAATTACCTAAACACCCATTAAGTAAAAAGGAAACAACACCTTAGTAAACGACTAAATGGTGTCTTGATTGATAAGCAAAAGACGAATCTAACCTCGGGTTTCCCATGGGGGTTCTTTCTGAACTCAAGAGACCTTGGGTTGACTTGAGAGCCTATCTGATCTAGTCATGAAGATATATTGTGTAAGTTTTACAAATTATATGATATATTAGTAAAAAAAAAATAACTTTATAAACACAAGCATGAAGGGATTATTACATCTAGATATAGTAGTACGAACAAGTGCACGGGCTATTAAAGCACTTTTTTGAAGATGAAGGGCACTAATGCTGAAAATGTGGTCTTTCTCAAGTGGTGATAGAAGGTCAACATACTGATTTAGTAAAGATTGACTTTTCACTTCATTTGGTAATGCATACCAAAGATGGGTTTCCCTGAAGATCAAACTTTATGTGTTAGTAAATTAATAGACTAGAGAAAAGAAAAGAAAAAGAACATTTGAATCATACATTTGAGATGGAAGTTTTATGGGTGAAAAGGGGGTTGAAGTATTAAACATCCTGTGACTGAAGCAATTTATCTTCATCATCTACATAAATAACATCAAATTGCCATGGCTAAACTCTGTGGATGATATGATATGCAGCTACCACTATTTGATAAACTTTGGATAACGATTGAACAACTCATGCCACTCTTCTGGAAGATGTGCAACTACAATTGGACAACAAGTCATTCTCTTTACGAATTGTTTAGTTCTAGCATATGATGTAGAAGTCATCAAATTCAGAAAATGATTCCAATATTCAATCCACTCAACTATCAATTATAACATGTTCTTATTTCTTTTGTTACCTGTATCATCACAGATTTTAAATGATGAATTTAACAATAATCTAACACAAAAAAAATTGGTTGTTGAGTTCTTTGAGGACTTTAATCAAACAGTTGGTGTGCTATGATAAGAAAAAATGTTGTTAACTTCGGAAAAAACATACAAATTATGAACACCAGAAAATAAAAATCAAGAACAAAAGATAGGCAACGAATCCTAGCAGAATAATCACCAAAATATGAAACGAATTCTAGCAGAATAATAATCAACACGATAGGCAACAAATTCTAGCATAATAATACCTGAATACGTGAAGCTTTGACAAGTGAGAGAAGCGCCGAGACGGAAGATCGATAGAGGTGATGAAGCTTGATCATCGACCCTCCATGAAACTTGGTCGCAATGGGCCAATGGCTGGGATTGTTGGGAGAATCGATGGAAGCAAATAGGAAGCAGACGGAAGAAGAGAGGAGGTGGAGACTGTAGTCTTTATGTTAAACGAGGGTTAATATCAGCGCTCCTTGGTGCCCAAAAATTTCCATTAATGGATGTAACTTTCAATAGCAATATAAGTTTTAAGAGGAATTAAGGTGCCCATACAAATCAGGGACCAAAGTTTTGTATATAAACTTAAGAGGACTTAAGTTGTCAAAACACAAAAGTCAGAAACCACAATCATGTCATAAAAATGCTTAAAAATAATTAAAGAAGAATGAAAACGTAAAAAATTTATGTCCAAACGTAAATAAAGTCGGTGGATAGAAAAATCATATCATATATAGTAAAGGGGTAACATGAAAAGTTTAGAAAATGAAAGAGGTGTAAAGTTGTGGCATCAATGTATTTAAAAAAATAAACTCTTTCAAAATCATGAAAGAGATATTTTATTTATAAAAAAAATTATATTATATATAGAACAGAGGTAACATGGAAGTTTAGAAAATGAGTATTTTCAATTATATTATATATAAAACAGAGGTAATATGAAAATTTAGAAAATGAAAATGCGGAAGTTAGAATTTAAAAAGTTTTTCAAAATTTAAGGGGAAAAAAGTTTAATTTTGAAAATTAAAGGATATAAAGCATCTTTTTACAAACTAAAAAAAAGAATTTAGTATAGATATTGTATTACATTTTTTATTAGGGATGAGCATATGGACCGGGGAACCGGCCGGAACCGGTACCGGAACCGGAACCGGCACCGGAACCGGAACCCGATGGAACCGGTCGGGCCGGGACCGGGACATTATTTTTGTGGATTTTTGGAACCGGGAACCGGTAGGAACCGGAACCGGCAAAAACCGGTAGAACCGGCAAAAACCGGAACCGTATGATGCTATTTTTCAAGGATCGGTTCTAACATTTGAAGACACGACAAGAACCGGTAGGAACCGGGAACCGGTGGAACCGGAACCGGTAGAACCGCCGGGCCGGTTCGGTTCTTAATTTTGGCCGAAGCCGGTTCCCGGTTCCGGTCCGGTTCGGACCGGTTCCGACCGGTTCGGTTCTTTTGCTCATCCCTATTTTTTATCCTTTTATTTAATTTATGATAATAAATATAAAATTAATACTACTACTTTAAATGTAATAAATCAAATAAAAAAATAAAATACTAAATTATAGAAAATATATATTTATATAATTAAATATCAGACATTGTCCTTAAACGAAAGTTTCAGAAATTGTCTTTGGGTGAAATTTCATTTCACAAATGGTTTTTAGGTTATATTTCACAAAATGTCATATATGACATTTATATAAAATTCTCTCAAGTTAAATAGCTTCATACATAAAACGAACATCCAGTTCACTAAAGTGCAATGTTTTGTCCAAATAGATAATTCATGTAAAAAAAAAAACGTTAGTCTTCATGTTAAAATAAATTGAATTTAAATAAATTATTTTTTTTAATTTAAAAGTATTTTATTTCTCATTTATTTTTTTATCGGAAGTTATCTATAATTTACTTTAAAAAAATTGCAAATTTCAAAACAATATTCTTGCATAAATCAATCAATTAATTCTAACCATTTTAAAAAATACAAAATTTTATCTATCGGTAGAAAACTCATAAACCCATCTATGGTAAATCATCATTAAAAATAGCTAATTGTGCGTGCACACACACACACACACACACACACACATATATATATATATATATATATATATATATATATATATATATATATATATATATATATATATATGAAACCATTTATGAAAAAATTCAAAAAAATGATTTAGAAGTGATAAATATAAAAATAGGATGCATCATCATAATCCTTAAACATATGGGAATCGAGTTGGTTGAACAAGATTATTTGTCGATTACAAATTTAGTCCATAAACTCATCTTATAAATAATTAAACAAAACATATTTGCATAAATATTTTCCATCTTATTGAAATCTTAATAATCATGTATTTAGATTTAATTATCTCATAGATAAAATTTCGCCTCCATCATATTAATGTTCATTCTAACCCAATATTACTAGATCTGATTTCTTAAGTATGTAGCCTATCTAAAAGTAAATATCCATCAGTCATAAAAACCTATGTTTTTTTATCAAGGAATGTCAAATAGTCAAAGCACTCATATATACCCCATTCGTGTAAACAGTCTTGTTCTAGATTTGGTGCAGTCATTTTGCCACGATGCTCCTTTCACTCCGGCGACATCGTCTCCTTCTTTAATACCGGCAATGCAACCTTGGTGATCAAATAGTTTCTTGAGAATCACCATTGGAGATGACGATGAAGCAACAAAGCAAAAGGAAGGTTCAGCAGGAACCATACCAACCTTCTTAGAGGTCTGCATCAGTCTCCAAAAGAAATAACCAAAACCATCCATCAATTCCTCCGTATTGCTTGAGTGTCATTTGCCAATAACCTTCCATCCCATCGCACTTTCTCCCTAACATTGTTACCGAATGGAGGGCTTATCAGAAAAATATCATGAAGCCCATCACTTAACCTCACTCCTTGCATACAGTCTCTATAGATTTCAAAACATTCAGTCTTTTGATGCTTACTCACCAAAAAATACCATCAAGGCTCATTGGAAAGCGTACTATAACATTTGTATTTCAGATATTATTTTTTTTGTGTTTTAAAGACTTGGATTTTGAGGATTTGCCTCCCCTCAGCACGGTGAGTGGTTACCACGACGTGATAGCGCCACATCACCACAACGCGACACTTATTAAACGACCACAAAGCGGTGTCGTAATGCGTACAAAACACTAAGTGTCGTCCGTTGGGCCCTATATAAAGGATATGAGGGTTATGGTTTCGACTACCCTCAACCTCCATCAACCAAAAAGAGACTCCATCTAAACCTTAGCCTAACCTTGTTGCTTTGAGCTAATTTTTGCTTATTTGGTGTCTATTGAAGGAAAAAGAGATCATATATGGTGAAAGGAACCATCAAGCACAATCAATTCCTTTGAGCATCTCTGGGACCATTATAAGTATTCAAAGCTCCATCGTTGTGGTTTAATTCATGTAGGTCTAGAGTTTATGTTGGTTTGGTCCATTTGATGAGTTTTGAGTGGATGGTTGCAATAAAGTTTGCAAATTTATTAGAGTCTGAGGTCCCAAGAATGTTATATGTTTTAGATCTGGACTCTTATGTGTTTTGTTGCCATGTATGAGGGTTTTGACTCCATTTCTCACCATTTTGACCTAATTTAGATTATGACATGTATTGAACATGCATGTCCATAAAGTTCAAATTTTTATGGACCATTAGGGTGTTATGAAGCCTTCTGGAAAGTAATATTAGTGGACTTAATGGATTAAGAGCTTAATAAGGATTTGGATTTGTAAGCGTGACTACGATGTGGTCAAGTGTTGACCATGATGCGGTGGCTAGATCCATCACATGTTCTGTTTGAGCCAAACCACGACGTATCCAAGGTCTTGCTATAGCACAATGGTCTGCATAGTTAGATGACCATTGATCGTTGACTTTTTGACTGGGTTTACCTTTGGCCAACATGTTGGTTTTAGATGGTAGACTGAGGTTTGACCTTTTGATAAATGTTAGGTGGTGTGTAGTACCATCATTTACGTTTTGTGAGTTATGGCGTTAGTTTACTTCGATTAAGAGGTGAGTTTTCTCATTATACTGTAGGACACCAGGTGTCAATATATGTTGTTTGTCTTTGTGACATGCATGAAAGATCATGACTTGGCATGTGGAATTTGAATGAAAGATCATTATTTGGTCCATGGAAATTGTATAAAAGACCACGATTTGCCACGTGTCATATATATGAAAGACCATCATTTGGCCCATGGCAGGAAGTGATTATAAGACTATGATTTGGCATATAGTTTTCACTTGGGTTGAGATAGACCTGTTACATTATGTATCGGTGTATGTGGTATTTTGGGGAACTCACGAACCTCTGTTCTTACGGTTAACTTGGGAGGACATCACGATATCAGAGTATGTTTCGGAGTGTGTGACCTGTGCGAGAATCAAGGCACAATATCAGAAACCATATGGGAGTTTAGAACCTTTGTTTGTGCCTATGGGAAATTGGGAGGACATCACGATGGATTTTGTCACTAAACTGCCCAGGACAAAGAATGGTTACGACATGATTTGGGTGGTCGTTGATCGATAGAGGAAATGGGTACCAAGTTGTGTTTAAGTATAGCTTACCATCCGCAGACTGATGGTCAGAGGGAACGGACGATACAAACACTTGAAGATATGCTAAGAGCATATACCTTAGAATTACAAGGTAACTGGGATGAACATTTACCATTGGTAGAATTTTCCTACAATAATAGTTTCCACTCGAATATTAAGATGGCACCTTATCAAGCTTTGTACGGGCAGAAGTGTCGTACGCCGTCTTGTTGGCTTGAGGCTGGGGAAAAACAGTTTATGGGACCAGAGATAGCCCATCAAACTGCTGAAAAGTTGAAAATAATTAGGGAGAGAATGTTAGCAGCTCAAGATCATCAAAAGAGCTATGCTGACAAAAAGCGAAGACCGATGACTTTTGAAGTTGGAAATTCGGTTTTACTTAAAGTCTCGCCGTGGAAGGGACTTATAAGATTTGGTAAAAGGGGAAAATTAAGTCCAAGGTTTATTGGACCGTTTAAAGTTCTTCAGAGAATTGGGAACCAAGCTTACAAGCTCGAACTACCAGAAGAACTGAATGGAATTCATAACACTTTTCATGTGTGTTATTTGAGGAAGTTCACGGGAGAAGTTCCCGACATGATTCCACTTTCGGAGTTAAGAATCGATGAGAACAACAGGTTGATTGAAGAACCAGAGGCAATCGTTGACCGAAAGACTAAGAAGTTGCGACGTAAGATGGTTTAGTTAGTGCTTGTCCGATGGAAACACGCGAATGGGCCAAATCTCACCTGGGAGACGAAGAGTGACTTGATGAGTCGCTATCCGCATTTGTTTGCTGATGTGTGATTCCGGGGACGGAATGATCCTAAGGTGGGGAGAATTGTAACGCCCGTGTTTATGGGTTTGCCATTTTTTTAGCAATATAATAATCTAGGTTAACCTTTGTAACCCAATTTGAAATAATAAAAATGTATTATTTGTGAATTATATGAATTATGTGTGTATTTTCTTAATTATTATAATTTAATGAATTAAGAATAAAATGAGCGTCAAAATTTAAGTGTAAAATAAACTCGATATCTTTGGATTTGATAGTTGTGGGTCCATTTTGGTGACCTTGGTTGCTTGTCAAGAAAGACGAGCCATTGGAAAGCATTGTGGTGCTTCCTGGCTGAAGTAAAGATCTCTTTTGGGCATCTCTGGACCTTTATAAGTGTCCAAGTTCCTTGCTTTATGGCTTAAAGTGGTTAGATCTTGGATATTGTCCCATGTTTTTCATGTTTGAGGAAGTTTGGAAGGAATAAACTCATAAAGTTGGCAACTTTATGATTCTCCTAAGTCCCGAGAGCATCATATGTTGTAGATCTTGACTTTGGTTGGAGTTATTATCATTAAATGAGTTTTTGGGCATTTTAGCTTATTATGAACTAAATTGGATTCTATACATGTTCTGGGCATGCATGTCTAAAAGGATTCCACCTTTATGATAGATATGGTATTATAAACCCTTCTGGAGTGGTTGGGTTAAGGAATTTTTCAGATTAATGACTTAATGGTTAAGACATTATGGATTTTGGCTTTATTTACGCCTAGGGTTTGAGATCTTGATCTCTTTAGGTGTCTTAATGGATAAAGTTGGAAAGTTTATCTAGTTAGACCATAGTATGGAACATATTTGAGCTTTGGAGTTCTTAGAATCGAAGAAAACAACTTAATCCATTAAGTTGTTGGAATCTCAGCTCCCACAGTGTGGCTATAGGTCGCCACAGCGTGACAACAGAGAACTTCCCATCTGTTTGATCACATGGGAGCCACGATATGGCAGTTACTAATGTCAATATTGATCGTTGACTTTTGACATGGGTTGGCTTTTGGTTAAATTTCTTTTTTTAGAAGGTATAATTAGAGTTTGCCTTGTGTGGTTTCATAGGAAGTATTTAGTACCCATCTTTGGCAGTGAAAGTTATTAGCTATGGTCGATGCGACATTGAGTTGGGTTTTAGTCGACTTTGTGATTTATGTAAGTCTTCTCACTGTACTTGGGGGTCGAATGCACCAATGCCGACCCATTGGTATATGTTATATAGGAAGAATAGGGAGTGACCCCTGGCAATTGTGTAAAAGACCTAGAGGTGGCTCCTAAAAAATTGTACGCAAGACCAAGATTAGTACTCCTGACAGTTATATATAGTATGCAAGTTATCTTTTTGATACATGCATGGAAGACTAGGAGGTGGCTTTTGGCACTTGTTTGTAAGACCTGGCTTTTGGTCCTCGGATTGGCAAGGGAGGACCATGATACGACTTATGGCATAATGGCAATTGTAGGACTATGATTGGCACATAACAATCTCTATTATATGTATGGTATGTGGTATTTTTGAGAACTCACTAAGCTTTTTGCGTATGGTTTTATGTTTATGGTTTCAGGTACTTTCGGTATGAAAGGGAAGGACTCGGCGTGACTGCATAGCATCCCCAGAGTTTTTCCACATTGGCTATTTGTGATTACTCTGATGTTTAAATAATATATTCACCTTGATCAGTTTTGTAACAACTCGTTTGTATGGTTTGTTGTTTTAAAAATGAAAAATTTTACTATGAATTTTTGGGACGTTACAAATTAACACAGACTAAAGTTGCTCTTTCCATCATCGAACCTCATGGGACTGCATACTGAAATCATATTTGTATCCTAAAAATATTGTTAGATAATAGATAGATATACACCAAACCTATTTAGTATTACACCACAAAGGATTCCCAAGAAAGAGATATGGGTCATAGCGGACAAGCTTAAAATACCAAATCTTTCCTATTCATACACATTCTCCTTAATCATATATAATTCTATCATACACAAAACAATCAACAGAATACTTGTTTCTGATGTGGATGATCATACAAAGTTGCAATAAAATAGTATATTATGTACCTTCGAAGTACCGAGACACTTTCAAATACGACCAATAGAATTGTCTTTATGGTGTGGAAGATTAGGCCAAGTTGAAACTATAGAGCATTCTATGAATCTCTATAATCAAGACCTCTCCCAACACCAACATCTCTAATAACACTTGTTGGGAAATGACCTCAAGGATCCCTCATAACCCTTTGAAATGAAATAATAGAGAAAATAATTGAACACAATAATATACATCGAAAACTCCAAAACGGGAGAAAAACCACATGACTCCAGAGAAAAAAAGTATTAT